TTTCGTATATGCCTAAACATCTCACCATGTACATGTTCCACTTCAATACAAATCACTTTTACACACAAAAAAAAAAATCCGAAGCTAAAAATAAACAATCCAAAAATCGATTTTTTTTTTGTTAGAAAGCTAACATCTTTATTAATAAAACCATAATCATCCCATATAATCTAATAGAAAGATCATAATCATAACTCATCGAATATAATATAAAAATCGAATATTAAATATAGTTTTTAAAATAAAAGAATCATTAGAAACGAACCCAAAAAACAAAATTTATACTATGATTTTCTTATGTCGATTATTATTATTATTACAAAACCCCAAATATCCGACGATGGTTAAGAAAACATGAATGTCGATGTTTTTTTTTTGTTTGTTATCCAGGAGATTCACCTGAATCTTCGGCCCAACCTACATCTTCTAGGCCCGGAAGCAGCCTTTAGAGGTTCGGCGGCAAGGGTCCAGTGAGCAACACCCTCCGAACTGAGAAAAACCCCCTCCCTCCCCATCCGTTGGTTTCGAACCGACGATCAGAACCCAGAGAGCAACACCCTTTCGCCACTTAGCCACCCACGGATGGGTGTGTGGCCGATTTTCTTATATATGCCGATTTTTTTTATATTATAGATCTATGAGTGTGTGATTGAGTGAATACATTTTTTCTTTAATAAAACAAATTGTTGGTGTATAACTGAGATACACTTCTACGATTATGAAACATACGGTACATACCCTCCCCACGTAATATATATACCGTATGTACCGTATGTTTCATATATAAAATATGTTCGAATACCATGAGTGAAAACATATTCGGTGGCATTAAATAGGTGTACCGCTTAAAGAAAATTAAAGATCCATGAAAATTTGGTTCGTAACAATACCACGAATTTATTTTCTTCGGAGTTCAGAGACCAACTATTTCAATTCATTGAGTCTGATTTTTTTTTTTTGTGTGTGTATATATTCCGTTTTAGAGTAATTATAATAACAAGACCACCTTCTCAACATTTATACTTCAGCAAAGTCTAACTGTTGAGATATACCGGATCTTAAAGAATATTACGAGATATATCATATAATTGAGATCTTATCAAATCTGGAAAATATATATTTAAGAATATTTATTATTATGTGTACTTTACTTATTCAAATGTAAGACTCTCATCTATTTATATGTTATTTTGACTATCAATATAAATATCATTCCGCAAATTTTTATATGGTATCAGAGCCTGATTTTTTTCTAATTTGTTGTTCTTTTTATAAAAATGATGATCGATAATGAGAGTGAAGATGAAGATGATGATATACTGATCCAGTGGTAATATCATTTCGAGTTTTTTTTATTAAGAATAAGAGAGTCATTTTATTTTTGTTTTTTTTTTCTCTCATAATCTCACATGTTTCTAAAGATTATTTGCATAACCGCCAATCATTTGTTTGATTTTTTTTGCATAGCCACATGTTGTCATTAAACACTTTCGCATAGCTGCCTTTCAATATCGGATGAATCAGAGTTATTCCCGAGACTTCTTTCTGCACCGCGATTGTCGTCCTTTTTTTTGTTATCATCAAACTTTTGTGCGTGGTGCCAAAGTTGCAGCGCAATCGTTTGTTTGATTTTTTTTAGTTATGATTGACACAAGTTCGCAAGGTGATATGGTTCAAACGGCATGCGTTTGATCATCTTTTCAGCAAGTTGGATGTTTCATTATCTTCCACGCTCCAACTTGAAGGGGGATGTTGAGATATACCGGATCTTGGAGAATATTACGAGATATATCGTATAATGGAGATCTTATCAAATCCGAAAAATATATATTTAGGAATATTTATTATTATGTGTACTTTACTTATTCATTCAAATGTAAGACTCTCATCTATTTATATGTTATTTTGGCTATCAATAAAAATATCATTCCGTAAATTTTTACACTAACAACAACCATAATAATTATTATTAATTTATTATTGAAGAAATTTAAATGTATATTGCGTTTTTTTGTAATCAGTAAAATTCTTAACATAATAAAAATATTGGAACTAAACAGCAAATATTATAATAAATAAATCTAATACTATGTAAATTGTATAAAATTTTCAATATTCTTTATAAATTCATGAATGAATTTTTTTAAATTACCCTTATTCTATAATCTACGAGAATTCTTTTATAATATCGATGATCATGAGTAAAATGGAATCTAAATATATTTATTAGAACTTTTGAAATAAATTAAAACGTCATTTTGCATTCGTTTTGTACTAGCAAACCAAATTTACGAAATAGGGATAAATCTCACTCTTTTGACGTGATCACTCTAAAAAAAGAAAAGATTAAAATTATAATCAACGTTCAATGTACTTAGTATAGTAAATTTTTATTACGTGTTCAATAATTAAGAGAAGTTCGATTAAATAACTAACAATATCCATATATAATTTACGTAAACTATATATGATAATCGTTGTTGATCAATCACACCCGCGAACTTCTTTTTCAATGAGGAAACAAAATATAAAAAACAAAACATTTGGAGTTAATTCATTTAAGAAAACTTATCAATATATCACAAATGAGAAAATAATTTGTTTTCGTAATTAAATTGATTAATCCTTTTGAAAATCACTAATCCGCTTTATTGTTATAATTAATAGTAAATAAACAGCACTACATTTTTAATTATTTTGACTAGATTTAATTGCATGAGAAATAGCATTGTTGCTATATATAGAAACTAAGGTACTAGAATGCACTTCCCCTTTGACCGTCGGGCCATGTTCTAAGGAGATGTATGCATTAAAAAAAATACGTGCCGTGCTTTCCAGCTTTGACAAAAATAGGCACAAAAATAAGAATAAAATTAAAGATTTGTAATAAACACAACACAATAACTCTCGTACATACACACAAAAAGTCACAGAGTGTATATATATATATATATATATATATATATATATATATATATTCATGTATAGCATAAAGTGTTTTAATATCCAATCTATTAGATTGTTCGTTGATTAATAGCATTCGGAAATAAAATATTTTTATACCCAACTTATTTTTATTATACATTTTGATATCTAGACTTTTTTTACGTTTTAATACCTCATTTGTTTTCAGTGCACGTTTTTCATACCTATTTTTGTTATAATATTATGGAATTTACTCATCATGGCATGAGAAATAACATCATCTCATCATCATCATCATCATCATCATCACTCCTCGCTATATTTAATGTTTAATATATTATTTTCAATAAATTAAGTTAGATATTTCACCAACACATAAACCGATAGTATTAAAAAATACGGTTTGGAAAGCTGTATGGTAATTTTTGTTTCATTTATTTTTCACCCTTAATTATTGATATCTTTAATTTTTTGCACTCCAATTTATTGTTAAAGGTGGCGTGAATAATTGTACTACGTAGAAGTTGACAACATAACGTTTGCTCTGTAATAAATATTTTTTGCTCTTTTATTAAATAAGCACATTTATGAATCGTTTACCATCTGATTTTTCCCCAACATCTTATATGTTATTGAATTTAATTTCTGAGTAATTGAATTTCTCCTTCTCTTGTCCAACCTTGGTTATTAATTTGCTTTACAGTTGAATATTAATTTGTAAACTATAAGGATTAGAATTCATACCATGCAAATATTATATAAGCGGTTAGAAATTAAATCAATGGTTGTACGTTTTTTTTTTTGGAGAAAAAAATATTAAAATGATAAATTATATGATACTTCATACAAAGTCCAATAACATTTGTCGCCTAGTAATATGGATTATCTTTTTAATATTATGAATTCAAATTATATTGTTGATCTTCTGTAACTTGGGATTGAGCGTATATCATGTATAGAAAACTATATGTACATATATGCGCACACAATATAAATTAGGGTGGTGTATATCTATTTGTATAATTAAGGTTGTTTAAGAGCCGCTGTTATTGGAAAAAAGTTTTTCAATAAATATATAACATAGGTAATTGATTGCTCACACTGTAACATTTTATCCATAGTCTATAAATAAATGTATGTATGCTATGATATTTTTCATGGTTTACGAAATAAATGTATGTAAGTTTTAGGAGCTTTTCTCTTTTTTATATAATTTTTTTGGCATCAAACGCATGTTATAAATATTAACTTGTATTATAGAGATCACCGGATTGATTTGGGGTAATGTTAATAAGGAAAATATCTCAATCCGCTCTCCATCTATTTTTAGGATCTCTACAAAGGAATTCGGTCTAAGTACACTCCTTTACATATAAAATTGTTCATAATTAAAAATTAAAATTATTGAAATTATGAAGAGTTAGAGTTATCCGTTATGTAACTATATGATAGACAAAACAAGATTTAAGGAACCAGGCTCTGATACTATATAAGATAAACAGAGAATTTGGAGGAATTGCATCTTGTTATTCACGAGTGTGTTTACATATATACACATGTGTAGTTGCTACAAATATGGAAACAGAATTGCAGAGAATCAGTTTGAATAACAATCAGATCTTGTTCTGTCTATCACTATATTCTTAATAAGATTAGTGTTAGTATTCTACTAAAATTAGTTTATAATTTTTGTATTTTTTTGTATATTGGCTGAATAAATGATTTAAAGGTTTTATTCTGTAAAATTTGAAAAAGTTGGTATGAAATAATTTACAATAAATATCTGAAAGCAAAAATTTCCAAAATCAAGAAGAGTTGGGACGACATGTTGGGAGAAGATCTTGAGAAAATATTGTAGTTAGAGAAAAATGTTGAAACTTTTGTCATTTGCTTACCCCAAAGAGAGGCCCTACGTATTTGGTTTTCCCACATTGCCATTCACAAAATCTACTTTTCGTCATTATATATACATACACATGTATATGTATGTGTATATTCAAATACATTATATATATAATTATATGTATGTATGTATACATGTATGTACACTAGCTTTGTCAAGTCAGTTTCCTTCCTCCCTCCCTCAAAGAGCCTCCCTTTTTAGTTTTTATTCATCTCCCCAATTATTTTCATTTCCAATTTTTTTTTTCCCACATTTCAGAAGCATACATAAGAAGTGCCCCAACGGAAAAGTCCATTCCCTGTCTGATTGCTTTTGCTCGAGAAAAAACCACACATAACAGTTGCTGCTTCACATCTTCCAAAATGTACGCTTTTGTTTTGCTTCGGCATTCACATGTCTCTTCCACAGCTTCTTCCCCAATGCTCTGCTTGTCGAGGAAAGTGGGTTTTTAGGCTAAAAGTTTTGAACTTTGATGGATTTTGGGTTGGTGGATTTGGATTCTTTGGTGGGTTCTTCTTCTTCTTCTTCTGGGTTTGGTTCTACTGTCTCAGATCCCCTGACAAAGCAGAAGCTGTACGGATCTGGTTTGTTTAGGAAGCAAGAAAGGCCTGTGAATGATGAGCATCATGATCATGGTGATGATAAGGATGATGGGTCTTTGAAGGGTTGCAAGAGAATGGCCAAGGCAGTTGGTGATGGTTTGTCCGGTTCAGACAACGGCAAGTCCATGTCTCTGTTAAGATCCAACTGTTCTCCTCTGTTCTCTGCCGCCGCCGCCGCCGCCGCCGCCGCTCCTCAGCATCACCCAGAAGACCAGATGCTGAGTTTCTCTTCCCCCAAATCAAATGCCCAAAACGCAAACTTGCTGTCTTATTTTCAGCTCTCAACAGTGTCTCCTTACAGTACTAGAAATGCAGGTTCGTCTATATGTCTATGCAAGTCATGTAGCGAGAGGCAATGCCTTCAGGAAGTGAAAAAAAAAGTTTTTTTTTTTTTAATTCTGGGCAAAGAAAACCTTGTCCTTTACGTTGGGAGTTTCATGATTCATCATATTTCAGTGTCTTACCAGATTTTTCTTTGGTTTTTTCCAGATTGGGTCCCTTTACATATAACCTAACTTTTCGCCCCCTTGATAGAGTATTTAATTCATGCCTTTTGCTGGTTTTTGGTGGTCCTTTTTCCGCGAGTCTTGGTTTTTCTTCAGCGATTATCAAAGAGAACACAATGGTTGCTTGCCAATGTCTGATTCTATAAAACTTCTTCAGTTCTTTCCCCCATTTTCCTCTTCATACCATGTTTCTTTTTTCCTCTTACAGTGAGTTCCAAGTAGCTCAGATTCTTGTTGTCTGTCTAAATTTTGGAGGCATAAAGTCTCTCTGTTTTCTGTTTCTATGGCGCTAACTTTTCTTTGTAACATGGACCAATGCTCTGTTTCAGGCTGCAACAATGGGTTCACACAGTCGCAGTGGATAGAGTTGGAGCATCAGACACTGATTTATAAGTACATGTGCGCTAACATTCCCATACCCTCTGCGCTGCTTTTGCCCATCAGAAAAGCCTTTGAATCTGCTGGTTTGTCTTGTTTAAGTGGAGGCTTGTTGAGGTCGAACGCCTGTAAGTCTTTCTCTCTTCTCTCTGTCCGTTTTGTCTCTTTCTCTTCTGTTCTTCAAGAAAAACAAAAGAGCAAGAAGTGGGTTTGGTCGTGGACTAAGCTTCTGTCCTTTTAATCACTTGCAAAAAAGTCAAGTAGCAGACACTGAGTTAGAGCCCAACTTCCGAGAGATCGAGTCTTATTGTGATTGAAGTTGACCAAAACAGTGAAACATATACAGGAGATTCACCATTACAAAACATAACATAAACAGTGGAGACAGAACACACCATAAGAAAAAGGAAATAAAGCTGAAAGCTTTCTTTTCCTTTTATGATTATAATTTCAAAATTTTCATCTCCTTTGTAGTTTAACATGACTTGGTGCAAACTCGTTGTAATAGAGTTTGTATACTATCTTCCTTAGGCGAATGTATCTCATTGTCTGAAAGCTTGTGGGTTGAAGAAGATGCTGTCTGTTCCATTAAGTATTAGAAAGTCTTAACTTATCAACAAACGATAACTCAATAGTATTCAAGTGTTCTGAACTGAGAAAACGTTTTGAAAGCTGCCCGCAACCCATTCTTGTTTTCTGTAGTTATGATGATGATGATGATGATGTATGTGTGTGTTTGATGTGGTGCATGAAGTGGGATGGGGAGGTTTCCATCTAGGATTCTCAAGCAACGCAGATCCAGAGCCAGGAAGGTGCAGAAGGACTGATGGGAAGAAGTGGAGGTGCTCGAAAGATGCGGTACCTGACCAGAAGTACTGTGAGCGGCACATGAACAGAGGTCGCCACCGTTCAAGAAAGCCTGTGGAAGGCCAAGTTCAAGGCCATTCCTCTTCTGCTGCCATGGCCAAGGCATCTGCCGCTGGTGGAGCAACTTGTGCCAGTGGCATTGCCTCCAAGAACACTACCACCTTTGCTCTATCACAGAATCAGCCCAAACATTCATCCATGAGTGATTCCATCAATGGGTTCGTCCTTCTGTTTTTTTTCCTTCTCACCATCCTCAGGGAATATGATTTGATTTGTTCCACCTATTTCCGAACTTGGGTTATCTTCATTGCAGTGTTTTCATGGGCAAGAACACCACGTCTGGCGAGAAACATCAAGAAATGAGTTCTATGCCTATGCTGTCTTCTAGGAATGCCAGTCTGAGGCCTGAAGATTCCAATTTCCTCTTCAAACATCAAAACCCTTTTGAAAAATCGTCATACAACGAGTTTGGTTTTGTTCCATCCGAGTCACTGCTCAACCCTTCTCCACATGGAGGATCATCTCGCTCAGTATACCTTTCTGATCAAGCAACCGAAGCTCCATCCCATCACCAGCTTCTCCAGTTTATGGACAACTGTCCTCAAAACCCTTCTCTTGCAGGATCCTCGGATTTCTTGTCAAGAAACCGGGGAAAAACTGCAACAACCACTCTAAGGTTGTCGTATGAATCAGACACTGTCCCAATGGGATTAGGAGTGCAAGGTGGGAGTAGCAGTAACATACCTCTTTCATGGGACAGTTCCATTGGAGGTCCACTTGGGGAGGCGTTGCACAACAGCAGCCAATCATCACCTACTGGAGTTCTGCAGAAGACAACCTTTGTGTCCATGTCCAATAGCAGCACGGGAAGCAGCCCGAGAGCAGACAGCGGTAGGGTCTATGAAGGGTCGAGCTTTTGCACCGACATGCTCGGGCCAGTTCCTAGCCTTGTCCACTGCTCTTGGTCTGTACCTCCCTAAACTAATGATGATCCAAGGGAGATGTACTATGAAAAAAAAACCATTTTGTTTGGGAGACTGGTTATGCTTTTTGTTCCTTTGTTTTTTAAAGTAGGCTTCTAACTTTTGGCTAGGTATTCACCATTCCTGTTATGTAGGAGCTCAAGGGGCACTTGGTTTCATGTTAACCATTTGCAATGTTGTAGTTGAGGATTATGTAACAGTCTCTGTTTTGGAAAAAGGATTTTGACATTTGATAAAATACAAGAGATATGTATATATCTCTAATACAAATGCCTCCACGAAAGCTAGAGCCGGATTGCTTTATGCTTTACATGTGAAGAATGCATACTGAATCTGAGGCAAAGCATCAGGGAAATGAAATCAGTTGATCAGAAAGCTGTAACATGAACTGCTGCAACATCTGATAATTCCTTCAAACTGTTAACTCACTTCCTCTTGCATGGGATGGGACATCATAATTTTCACTGTTTTCATGTAGATGTTTTTTACTCTCTTTAGGTAAAATCATATAGGTAAGGTTTCTATCAGAGATTTCAATCCATTTATACAGAAATTTACTTTCCAACTCTCCATCTCAAGACCAAGACAGAACCCATGTCACAGAGTTCACTCAATCCAAGGTTTTACAGTCGAACTAGGGCTTTAAACACCACCATTTTGATTCATTTTCAGGAGTTTGCTGGTCAGAGCGCAACGTGGAATTCAGCTATACAGACTATAAAGCAAGCTCCTTTGGATTTGTAAATCAAAACCCACAAATTGACATCAGTATTAGGAAATTAAAACAACCCAGAGATTCATTATGAAAATCTACTAAATCTTTAAGCTTTGCGCCCAAGATAACCCTGATTTCAGTCTCCACAACAACACTTGGACGTTAAGAGAGAGTCACGGCAGCATCCAAAGTAATTATAAAAAACAAGATCAGAGGAAAAATCTGCGTTATACCCAGAAGCAAACACACAGAAAGTAGGCGACTTTATCAAAAGAAACGTCGAAAAGAAAAATCTGAAAACGATTGGAAGAGATGGGTGTTGCTCATATTCTATGGGTAGATATTGAGTCTGTCAAGCCATTGTCAATGGCGTTTCCGTACGAGGAATTATCTTTGCGATCATCGCAACGAACCCAGAAAAGTGACGAATCTCTAGTTATAAAACCCAGAAACCGCAGAGAAAAGAAATCAGATTAGAAGCCATGGATCAGAAAACCGACGCAGGAGAACATGTTGGTTTCTCAGCGAAAGACATGATGAAGCTGCGGTAGGAGATAATTTGCTTAAATAGGGGAGGGTTTTGATTCGGAAAGCCCTTTGCCCTAGTTTTTACATTGAAACGTATAATTTTACTTCCTTGCACCTCGTACTTTATTGACTATTATAATTTAACCCCATATGTCTAGTAATATTTCAAAACTTTCCCTAAACTTTTAGAATTGTCAGGAAGTGCTACCCAAAGGTGGGATGGCTATTTGAATTGAATATGACCAGTTCGGTTACGTTACAATCTGGTTCGAGTTTTGTTTTTATTAATAAAAATACTAGATGAAGATCCGCGTTGAACGGGTTATTATATATTTTTTTTTATTTTTTTTATAAATTTTGTTGATATGAATATTATAAAAATGGTAGATATATATAGGAAAAATATATTAATAAAATTAAATTATTATAATCTCATTCTTATATTATTTGTATAAAAACTAAAAATAGTGAAAGAATATAATAATTATTGAAAATACTTTGTTTAGTTTGGTCGTACTCAATTTTAGACTTTATTTTTTTTTTAATAATATAGAGTTGTACATGTATATAAATATTTAAAAATAATGATGCGTTAGCAATATACTACATTATTTATTTATAAAAAGTATTAATAAATTTAATATAATAATGATATTATTTTATATATGAGTATTTTTAAATAATCTATCATTTTATATATGTCTTCATAATTATCGATCGTTGCTAAACTTTTGACTTGCAAACGATTATAGTAATTCTTATTTCATTCAATTTATTTGTGTGTTCACGGATTTTTACTACAAAATTCATTCAATTTTTTTTTTAAGAAAATACCAATAATATTTTTATAGAAAATATGTTTAAATTTATCAAAAATTCTCCCACCACTTTATTTTGTTACTCCATTTTAAAATGTCATCATTTAGTTTATCCTAATTTATTCATAGTTATAACTTTTTATTTTATATAATATTTTATTATAAATCAGTAAATATTATTTTAAATAACAATAATTTTTTTAAATAATTATATTTTGTTAAATTTCACTTATTATTTTATTTTAATTACTCATATTTTCATTTTAAATTTTTTATTTAATTTTGTAATAGTTTTTTATTCATTGAAAAGTTTTTCCTTTAAATTAATAATAATATCTTTATAAATAACTAAAAAAATATTAAATAACCCTAATCTATATATCTATATAACATAAATTTTATTATCTAAATATAATTTAAAATAATTAAATTGAAAATAAATTAAATACTAATCCAATAAAAAAGTAAATAATCGCATTAATAAATAAATCTATACATATGTGTATATATATATATTCAACACATACATATTACACATATATGTATACATATACTAAATCTATAACTTATTATATAATAGAGAAAATCGTCAAAAAAACTCTGTACTTCACATGTTGACAAAAAAATTTGTATTTTTTTATTATAAAAAACCCTCTACTTATACATTCGCCGAAATATATATATACTTTTCAGATGTCAGACAAAAAAATCCTATATTTTTTTATAACCAAACAAACCCTATACTTATACTTATTCGCCGGAATATATATGTACTTTATAAATTCTACCAAATAAGTCTCTAAACTTAATAGAACCGATTAAAATAAAAATTAAATATAATGATATTGGATTCATTCAAATTTGAAATATTCATATCCAATCTGGAATATTATTTTAATTGGTTCGATTCGATTCGATTCAGGTATATATCGGTCGGATTCGGTTCGATTATTTCGGGTTCGGTTATTTCGGATTTGAAATATTCATACCAAATATGATATATTATTTTAATCGGTTGGAGTATATATCGATTGGGTTAGATTCGGACAGATTTTTTATCGTATTTTTTTGGCGTTTGCGTTATGGGACTTATTTGCTAGAATTTATAAAGTACATGTATATTTCGGCTAATAAATATAATAATAGAAACCTTGTAAAATACAAAAAAAAGATTTAATTTGATTAGAAATTAGAAAAATTAATATAAATTTTACTCGGTTTAGAAGATAACAAAGATGATATAGTTCTGGCATAGACTAATAGTTGAAGACCACTAAACCCGTCTATATAAATGTATAAACCCGAATTATTAATATGTTTTATACTAATAATTATATTATAAATATTTTGATACGTTAGTTCTGAAACCCAATCTTTCTTCCAAATCACGTTACTCAACCTATATAGATATTTTCCCTCAGAATATGATCATTCCCTTTGTGCACCGAAAACGAATCCTATCTGGTGCGACAAATACTCATGCGGCACAGTTCTCACCCTGCCACTGCCAAAATTTTTATCATCGTCCTCTTCGTTGTTGTCGTATTCGCCGTCTCTGTCTCTCTTTCACTGGCACCTGTATTCGTTCTTCAGAATCTTCGACCAGTCAGGGACGTTTACCGTAACGAACCGACAATGGGTTTGCTTTTCCGGACGGTGGAATCGGCGTTTTTTGCCGATTTTCTAGACAATCGCGAAATAGGTATTGACTGATTAACGAAGTGGGCAATTGATCGTCCAAGTCATAGATATCGGATTAGTCGAATATATAGATGTCGTTAAAATGATGTGATTAGAGTAAATCACAAAATGTTATATATGTAAGTGTATTGTTCATATTATCGCATAGAAAAGAAATTTAATTATGAAACTTAAATTAGAATTACAAAGCATACGAAACCAAAATATGGTTATATACACACACATTTAGACAAATTTTAGAATTACAATTATTTTATGTTAAACAACCACAAAAGTATTAGGATAAACCAACACAAACAAAAGGCATTAAATAGGGAAAGACATTCCCATGGATTTTTCCGAATCTTTTGGAAGATGTAGTCGAATCAAAAACCTAGTAAACTTTCAAGTTATCCAAAAAAATTTGCAAGTTTAAACGATGACAACCTGACACTAAGCAATATCTTTTATATCAAGAGTTTGAGAACCATAAACAGAATGTGAATGTAAAATCTTCATCAATTATTTTACAAACCAACGCAACACTCATTTAAGATTATCTCTGATATAAATTTGAATGTAAACTCTTTTGGAGGAGACTCATTGCGGCGATTCTCGCTTTATCTTGCTTGTACTTCTTCTTCATCAGGAAGAGAAGGAGGCGATTCAAGCTCTATCGTTGCCACATGCTTTTACTTGTCCACTCGCTTTCAAAATCGACGAACCAATATCTTCGCCGAGTAGCAAATGAAAAATTAACGATCTAAATCAGAAAAGTAACAAAAATAAACGTTTTTATAATAAAAATAAACGTTTTCCTTTTTTAACTATAATAATCGATTGATATTTATTATTATTATTATTACATATATCACCTATTTTTATAAAATCTTTTATATTTAAAACTAGTGTTAAATAATCATATATAAATGTGTAAGAAATCTTTATTATCTAAAAAATGTATAATAAACTAATGAAGAGGTTAATAGATAAATAAGGATTTTAAAATAATAATATAGAATATGAGGTGGCTTAAAAAAATTGTCACATGGAGATGAAGTGGTTTCACCACAATCCTTTAAACATCTTTATTGATATATATAGATTTATTTTTAAAGAAATTTTATTTTTATAATGTTTTTATTCGTTTTGAATTTGATTTTTATTTTATAAAATAACAATTATCCGATATTCGACTATAATTATATATTATTCATTTTGAATTTGTTCAATTGTTTTATTATTAATTAAATTGGATATTTTATCCAAATCAATTTTTACATACAGAAACAACTTTGACAAAATTTTATTTTTAATATTTTTGTTCATAAACAATTCTCATATATATATTTTTTAAAATAGTCTCGTTCATAATACAGTATACAAAAAGTTACAAATTTAAACCTATAAAAAAACTGAATTGCAACATACAAATTGAACCCCCCCAAAAAATCCCACTCATAATATCACATATTGAATTCATCCCAATCCACAAAAATCATGAAATTATTCCTAAAATCCAAAATTCATTTATTTATATAGTTATATATATCATAAAATCATCAATAGATGTAGCTAAAAATACGTTAGAATAGCTGGAATAAATCATAAGCAAACATATTAGGGATGAGATCAGATATATATACATAATTACAGTATCTCAAAATGGAACCAAAATGTGCAAACACCAACCAAACACGTTTGGAAAAGTGTTGTAATTAAGATAATGACAAAATGGAATAATTATAAGGCAAATTTTATGATATATTTTGATAAAATACAAGAGATATGTATATATCTCTAATACAAATGCCTCCACCCAAAACTTTTTCGATCAAATATATATATATATATATATATATATTGGTAAAGGTCACTGATTCCATTCCATCAAAAATATTTTTTTCGATTAAATATTAATATTCTCTTTTTTAATCGTTTATCCCTTAATTATACGTTTTTTTTACTTCTTTTTTAGTGGCCACCGTCTCTTTCACATTAACACCACACGTGATTTTTTTGTAACGCCTCCCAAATATAATATAAGATATTATTCCTTTTTTTTTTTGTGTGTGTTCATCCAAATTCACTGTTTTATAAATATGCCTCATTTCTTACACCAAACCCACAAATCCAAAAGGAGAGAAACCATAAGATTGAAAGGGGAGAAAACAATGTCGAGAGCAAGCACTGCTGTTATAGTTGCGGCCCTTCTCCTTAGCCTCATGGCTATCTCTTCGGCTGCTCGGCCCGACCCGAGCTTCTCTGCTCAATCCGCTGCGAAAATCCGTCCCGAGGTTCCGTTTATTTTTAGCTCTTTCTATATTTTATATGAACATATGGTTTATAAAATGAAACTTGTCCATTAGTTTGGTTGTATGTATATGTAATAAATATGATTTGGACTGTTAAGACAAACTTGCGATGAAAACGGTGTGTACCCTCGGCTCTATATATCGGATAAATCAGACACATTTTATTTGAGATTATGTATATATATGGAAAAAAATTTATTTTTATTTTGTAATGTGACTAACTTACAATTGAAATTGAAATAACAAAGGGAACGGAAGGGGAGGAGAGGTGCGAAGGGGACTCGGAGGAGTGCTTGATGAAGAGAACCTTGGCGGCTCATTTGGATTACATCTACACCCAAAAACAGCCTCCACACACCAAACCCCTCCACTAAATTATGTTATAAAAGAAAAAAAAATGTTGTTTTTAATTTAGCAATCAACTGCTACAATAATAATATCAGCGGTTCGTGTATATGGAGCAAATCATTTATTTTTTTATTTTTGTCAAAGGGTTGGTGTTTCCATTACTTTCGAATCTGTATAAAATGCTTTCCATATGTTCATGACCTCGAGAAGATTTTGTATGAATTTGTTTGACGTTCATATGTTCTTTTCCTTGTTTTAATTCCGAATTCTCGAATCATCATTTGTGTATAGTTTGCACGTCAAAATAATGGTATTTTTATAATTTATATATATATATATATATATATATATATATGAGAGTTAATAGACATGTAACCATGTCGGATTTAGGATTTATTTTATTTTCTGATGATGGAGTTTAGTTGATATTTGTTGTTTTATGTAGATATTATATTGCTTGACCTAAAATTGAATTTTTTTTTATTAAAACCAATAAAAACGTTTTGTTTTTGTGTTATTTATTTTTGAGGTGATTCACTTGATAATCCGTAATTACTATTTAGACAAATAGGATTATATACTAAGATGGAATCTGGAGAATTTGAATTTTATCTCTCAGTCTATTATAATTTTAAATATTCATGGTTATATTTGGAGATCTAATACACTGAATATATTATTGGATTTAATTTAAGAAATTGTATTAATATATTAATTTTGTATGAATCAATTAATTGATGTTTTTATGAGATCGAATTTGTTTCTATTAATGCGTATCTTCATGCTTTAATGGCTCGCTCAATGGCCTGATAAGATGCATACGTTAGGTGTGACTGGATCCGGATTTGGTTCTTTACGCAATATCATATTAATTTTGGGGAAAATATGATTTCAATATTTTAAAAAGATTTTGAATTCAATCATATGCATAATTTTGATCGAATATTAGATTTTTTTTTTTCACTTATTATGAGAGTATACATAAAAAAAAAACTATGACAAAAGAAGATATAAAATAGTAAATTATTCCGAAATTCAGAAAATATAATATTATTGAGCTTCGGAGTATTGAAAACGTGTATAAATTGTAGAATTGGAATAAAACGATACGTGTCAAATTTGGATTCAATTTTTTTTTTTTGTGAGAATTAAAATTTTTGAAGTATTATAGTGCAATCTTTAGAGATTACTGATATGCGAATAATAGAGGTGGACACGGGTCGGGTACTCCCAATTTTTAGAAAACCCCGTCTCGTCTTCATCACTACGGGTTTTACAAAAACATTATCTTTAGAGATTAATGATATGCGAATAATATAAAACATTTAAATGTAAGATATGGTGCAATGTTAGATTAAAGTATATTATCACGTAACGTGTGGGAGGTGGGTCCAAGTGGAAATGTACAAACTTCAAATGTCTAAACTAGTGCGATAAAAGTTACAACAGTTGAAATCATGAAAAAATATCTACAATATTAATACATAAAATTACATATTTTGTCTAATTGTAAATATTTCTTAACTAAAAATCTTGATAATTATAATTTTTTATTGATGTGACAAACATTTGTGAAAAGCGGAATCCAACGCAAACGCAAAGTGAATTTCAATTTCGAACGCGAACGCGAACGCGAACGCGAACGCAAACGCAAACGCAACCTCTGTAATGTCCAACACAACTGTAGAATCAACACAAGCTCTCCAAAAATGCATTTAAAGTAATTTTAATAAGCAAATAAATAATTATACCCCTCTGTCCTTTGCTCATAAACAACCCATGTTCATGTAAATTGAACATATGTATCCTTCAATTCTACAGTATTTTCAGTGTATACACACACACATATGCAGTATACTGTATACAATGTATTTGGCTGTGAGTGTTTCTTCAAGAGCTAAAAATATCATCACGGAGGCAGAAGAGCACAAGTTTATGATGACAATCCCCTCTGTGATTATGCAGGAAACCCTAAAAATGTGGATTAAACTGCCATCAAAACCCTAACCCTTTCGGTGTCGAGGACGTGTAGGTAGAAGGCGATGAAAATGGTGACGATAACCGAAGATTTCGCGCCGAAATAGGCGACTATTCGGCGTCCTCTGCCGGTAATCTCATCGGAAAAAGCCCGAGAATTTCTTCTGAAACAGTCAAGGAGCTTCAGTAACAGGAATTCCGACATAGATCTTACCGTTTCGAACGTTGCCCTTCCCGTTACATCAAACACAAACTTCCTGTTGCTTGGCACTGCGAGTGTAGTCTTGACAGAATCAAACCAACCGCCGTTACCAGTTCCATTCCCGTTCTCGCGGGAGGTGTTAGAGCTCGGGCTCGTCAAAACATTGTGAGACGTCTTAACGAGAGTTTCGACAGCTCCATTGCAAACAGAGACAAGAATGTCCCTCGTGTCATCTCTGTGTTTTGGATTCGTCAGTCCAACAAAGATCTCGTCATATGTGTTTATGTCCATTGTCTTGTCAAGATAAATGGCAACGGCTGCGGTGACAAATTTCTCGATACAATGCGCTATAAGCTCCTTAGATTTGTCGCTGTAAAGTGCATTAACCCACCAGGGCACGTCTAAGGAGTTCGTGCTGAATTCCTTCCCTTTCTCCCGACCATTCGCCTCTGCTGATCCCTCAACTGATCTGCTGCTACTGTCTGAGTAAAACCCTAAAACCAGATTCCTAGCAAAGCTACCGGCAATAGCGGAAATGAATCCGCTGCCAGCGGGCGAGAAAACTCGGTCCATCACTCTCTCGGTAAAATCAGAATCCGAGGATCCATTTACTGATTCTTTCTGATCCACGGATCCAAACCTATAACCTCTAAGAACCCCTAAGGTAAACCCCTCAGAAACACTAGCTAAGGAATGCACAAACTCACCGGCTCGAGCGATTTTCGAAATCTGCTTCAAACTGTTGGGAATTTCATCCGAATCTGACCGAAGGAACTCATTCAGATCTCTGGACACAACATTTATGGTCTCTGACGAATCATAAACCAATTCAGCCACAGAAAACATAGCTCCCAAGAGCTTCATCAACCTCTTCCTCTTCCTCGAAACTGAGGGTAAATGGTAAATCCTGTAAAACCCATAACCAGAGACACCGCAAAGAGCTAGAGAGAGAAGCCATTTCCTTCTTCTCCTCGAAAAGGTGAAAGCTTTATCAACCAATTGAACATCCATGGAAAAAGGAAATCCACCAGAAGAAACCCAATTACCAGAATCGCAGGATACGCAATTAAACTACAAAAAAAAAGGGTGAAATCCAAGAATTAAAAGAATCGCAATTTAGGGTTTCGATTACCCGATTCGACGGTTCAAGAACTGGGTCTGGGACGCGCGAAGATAAGGTTGATGGATAATGGAATTTATCGGAGCATTGTTGTTTACGAAATTGAGAGAAGGGGAAAGAAGAACGAAAATGGATTTATTTTAAAAATAAATAAATAAGTAAATACAAAAAATCGGGAGGGAGAAGACGAAACCTGCGATTGGAGCTGCAAGTGGAGAAGAAGACGAAATCTGTTTCTTCGGTTGAAAATGGAAATGGCGGATTTTGATTGGCTACGAGAGAGAGGTATGGTCGGTGAAACGACGCTCATAAAACGCTGTCGTTTAGCGGATGACATAAATAGACTGGGAAACTAAAAGAAAAATCCTATATTCATAATATGATTTATTCGTACTTATTTATTTGAACACAATTTAATTCAATTGTGTTTATGAATGATCGCGGACTCAGTTATGTGTAAGACAGATTTGTTTTTAATTTTTTCCTTGAAATAGATGTAGAAGACAGATTTGTTTAAAATTATGTAACAAAATTTGTTTGAAATTTAATTCAACCTGTATTAAAATTTAATTGGAAAAAACCAAATTTATTTGAAATTATGTAACAAAATTTTCGAGCTAATGTCTATTCCAACGTTTATAACTTTGATTTAAATGATCGTTTGACAAAACATTTTATGTAACAAAACATTTATCAAGCAAATTTATTTGTTCCCAATAAACATATAAACATTCGATTTATATATCAAAACTTAATTATTGTATTAACATAAAAACATTTTTAAGGCACAAAAAACATTATGTTTATGAAGGCTAGATGTTTTACTTGGAACACTTGAAAAGTACAAAACTTTGAAACATATCACAATTTTTTATTTTTTTTTGGAGATAATTTTCCATTTTAAAATCATAACATAAATAGTTAAGACATAAGATGTGTTTTTTTTTCATTACACTTTCCTTTTCCTCACACAGAGAGCAATACATAGAATATGTATGAAAGTAATCTGATGATCAAATAATGTCCTGTACATGTTTCAAATATCATTCTCAATTAAACCCCCTCACCCCCCAAAAAACAATGATGAACAAACATAACAAAACAATCAAATTCACCAAAAACTTCCATCCACCCTTTTGGACCGACCAAGCAATCCATCCTTATGTACAAAAGTTTTTGATTGATCCATTAGACCCCATCTTCAGCCAAACCAAAAAACACAAAAGCCGGTATCAGAATCGATATCGATTATACTGACCTCGAGTATCAGACCGGAAGCAACAGCCTTTCCCCCCATTGTTCTTACAGCTCGGGATCCATCCATCCCGATGAATGATCTTGGATTGATCCCGAGGCTTTTTTATGCTGTTTTCGGGTTATGAACCTTTCGAGATCGTCTTAGATTTCAGAGCGATGCTACTGATATCGTCATCCCCTTCAAGATCGCTGAAAGAGACGTCTTCTTCATTCACCGTGAACTTAGGGCACCGGCCATAAGTGTAGTCTTCCTCTTCCGGCCAGTCATCATCGTCATCGTAACCTTCTTCGGGTGATCGGCCAATGGTCGTGTCTTTTTTGTGGGCTGGTGGTGGTTCTTCCTCAATCACAGCCTTGTCTATGAACTGTGCTTCCGTTTTTCCAGACATGTGTTTCACTGTCTGATAGTCATGTGTCATAATGGAAGGCGGTTCAAAAGCATATATTCTCGGAGAAAGAAACTCGGGAGGAGCAAAGTAGCTGGATGAGGACGGAGTAGCGACTTCGACCCGTATATCTCTACTCTCTTTTACGTTAGAAATGCTTCTCCCGAACCAATCGGTTTCCGGGTTTGTCTGTTTCTGAAGCTCCTTCATCCATAATGCTCTTGCCTCCATCACCTGCAAATAACCTTTTTTTTTAAACAGGTTTTAACAGCTAAAAATCCAATCTTTCAACGCGATTTGTCCAATCGGGAATATATTAACGCAGAATCCTACCTGAGGTGAAGATAAAATCTCTGCATCGCGCTTCTGTAGTCTTGAATGCAGAAGAACAAAATAGACTTTCCAGAAGTAACCCACGCTCATATGGCATGGACAGAGTTCTATTCTGAGGGCAGCCAACCTCGGAGCTAGACGCTCAATAGCTAGAGCGTGCCCTTGTTGAGCATCAGACATGTTGAAATCTACAATAACATAGTGAAAAACCCAAAATTGATTGAATCACAAGTATCGATCTAGAAATATTTTAAAGAATTTTAAACTAGGAAGATCTGAATCCTTCTTTTCGATCATGGTTTCCTAAGAACACAACGAAATGAGGGCTCTGGGGTTCATTCTCAGTATATGATCATCCTAAAGCCAAAACCACAATCAAGAGAGTTTTGTCCAAGAAACATAGCAAACCCATTGCAGGGTCACTGGCTCAGACCAAACTAAGCAAGGACAAACTGAAAAACCCATGTTACAAAACGTCTTAAAGATGTCAGAAAACTGATTGCAGCATAATCCAGACCCCTGTAATTACATTGCAGGGGTCACCATTTTCAAGATGCAAAGATTGCTGCATGCTGATTCAACCCAAGAGATATGCTATAAGGTTCAAAAACTTGGGAAATTAGATTAGAGAACCCCAAAACTGCGAATCTTGTGCGCTGATGTTGCATATAATCAATAGCCTAATCGCAGAAAACGAAGATGGAAATTCTGGGGTAAATTTCAAAGACGTACCGTCGAGATCTTCCTCTGGGTCAAGAGGAAAATCCAACCAGGTTTCTGGGTGCATCGCAATGTTCCTCGCGAACGCAAGCACTTCATCTGTAACACCAACCGCATCGATCTCCTCCTCTTCCTCTTCCTCTTCCTCTTCCTCCGTCTCCTCCTCCTCTTCTTCTTCTTCTTCAAATTCCCCATCATCTTCTTCATCGTCTCCTACCGATCTAAAGGGACGATAATCCAAAGCCATCTCAGTTTTCTCCGTGTTCAATCTACCGGCTCTATCTTCGATCTCCGGCAAATCACCCACCGCTCTCGATTCAGACCAATCCGGCGGCTCAGTTCGATTCAAACCCGAATCCGAAAGATCGATCGACGATCCTCCTCCTCCGAATCGGGGAGCAGCATCAGGAAGAGGCGCGAGAAAGTTCGCCACGCCCCGCCATTTGCGCGTGAGGGATTGCCCGAGTTCGGTCAGGTCATCCTTGACTCCACGCGCGTGAGCCTCCTCTTCCACGTCCTCCGGTGAAGACGACAATAAATTGGCGTTTCCCAGAGAATCTTCCCGTCTCGTTGAAGATTGCTCGTTGTCGGATACGGCGTCATTTTCGAGGTTGCCCTCTTCTTCTTCTTCATCGTCGCCATCATCGTCCTCTTCATCCAGACGAATCGAGTTCGCCAAGGATCGAGCTAACCACGACATCTTCGATTTTGTTTTTTTAAACGAATTCTCGGAGAAGGTGAAGAAAATGATTGACCAAAGAACCAACAAACAAAAAAGGTTGCAGGTTGCAAATGGCGCTATGCGTTGGTTGGGTGGGAGAATCAATCACGTACGGTGAGAACATGGCCTTATGGTATATATAGCCAATAGAAATCAAGCACGTGGACAGTGAGGCAGTTTTTAAAACTGGATCCAGTTTTGTCTTCTCTTGCAATAGGCACGTGCGATCCAAACGTTTAAACTTTTGTTTTTTTCCCACCTCAAGTGCAATGTCGTCTTTACGAAAGGATGCACTACCACCATCGTTAATCTCGGTCACTCTAAACCGATTTCGGTTTAGTTTATATAGTTTATTTTATTGGTTATATAAAAATATAAATTAAAAGTGTCAATCTTGTCGCGTCTATATAACCAAACCTGAACCTTGGCTGCTAAATTCTAGGGGTGGGCGTTTCGGAAAATGGTTTGGGTTCAGGATATGAATTGATCGGTTCGGTTCTTTCGGTTTTACAAAAATAGGTACCAATCAGTTTTTGTATTGTATTCGGTTTGGTTCGGTTTCGGTATCGGTTCGGTTCGCTTCCAGGTTTTATTAAAAAAATGATAGATTTTTTTTAAAATATTCAGATTTTTGGGACTTTTAAAGTTCGGTTTGGTTCGGTTCTGTTCCGGAAAAATTCGGTTCTCTAAAAATGGTACTGTTCTGGAATTAAGAACGGTTTCGGATCGAAAAAAATACCTTTTTTCGGTTCGGTTCGGTCCGTTTCCGAAGAACCGAACCGACATGCCTAGCCCTACTAAATTCCTTTGTATTTTTTTTTAAAAATAATATCCGGCTTTTCTATCGGTCCGAATCGGATCTGAAACCCGAATTGAACCCAACCCAAAAGTCCGATTTAAATTTAGACCCAAAATCTGACATTTTTTGGGTTAAATTCAAATCGGGCTCCGGTGCTCGAACTGAAATTGACAACCCAATATGAAATCTGTTTGAAGTCGTATTCAATCTCAACCATCGATCCAACTCGCTTCGTCTTGTGCTCTCTTTTTCTGTAGACGTTTCTAATTCACCATAGACCTCGAGGGCTCCTTTTGAGCTTTGAATAAATAATGTTATGGAAAATTTAATAATATATGCATAGATATCAAGTATAATTGTAGAAAATTCTGTTCACCTAATATAAATATCTAAATGCTAAAAAAATAGAAAAAAAAACATACATTAACACAAGAATTTATGAAAAAAAAATCTTAGATAAATATACGATTTTTAAAATTTTCAAAAAAAAAAATACAGCAACTTTTCTTAATTTCTACATTAAAACTTAAATTTTTCAATAATTTTTAAAAACCATCATATCATGGTGGTATTTAGGAATCGTTTAAAAGTTTAGGGTTCAATTTTATAGTAGTTTTTGGGAATCATTCAAAAGTTTATGATTTATTTTTATTATTTTTTTTAAAAAAAGTTTGGGATTTAATATATTGATGTGAAAATTTTAAAATCAGTATATTTAATCGAGATATTTTGTACAAATTTACATATTAATTTGTATTTTCCCAGAAGGATATTACGATAACTTTCTCAAGACGGAAATATAACCTTCGATTGCTCTCTTTTGTTGCCAATGTCTTAATTTTTGGTGTTTGAGATCTTGCAGAAAGTTCTGACATTTACTATGCGAGTTTCCAACGATAGTAATTTATGTCTTTATTATTATTATTATTATTATTAGAACTCGTATAAATGGACCGATTAAAGATGATATCATCATCGTAAGCTAAATTTTGTGTTGGATCACATGGGTCACATGGTCACAGTTGGAGAAGAGTATGTGTTAAAATCAAAATAGAAAAATAAAGGTATTTTTTATATAATTTGTAACGACCCGAGACCGTTACGAAATGATAGAGCTGTCCCCACACAACAACACAAGACCTTTTAGCGTGTTTTGTCCTCACTCGCACATATCCCGAAAAGTACTTCCTAGGAGGTCACCTATCCTAAGACTACTCCAAGACCAACACGCTTAACTTTGGAGTTCTCTCGAGATGGGCAACCGAAAAGGTAGATACATCTTGTTGATATGAGTAGCTCAATTAATTCTTTTAAGTTATCTTAGAGTGTGTAGTCCTATACCTACACAGCACTCGGATCTCTCTCATTCCGGTGCGTCCGCTTCATCCCTGTACACCCTACCCAGAAGCTCGTCATGAGCCGCCCATTGTCCATGCCTCTCGCACCGACGATCACTCCCCGCCCTCCTATGGTATCGTGGGTTGTCACAGGCCCACCAACTTCCGCCTGGTTTGTCCATGAACCACACCGTATTGGGAGAGAACCGGGCTCTGATACCATTTGTAACGACCCGAGACCGTTACAGAATGATAGAGCTGTCCCTACACAACAACACGAGACCTTTTAGCGTGCTTTGTCCTCACTCGCACACATCCCGGAAAGTACTTTCCAGGAGGTCACCCATCCTAAGACTACTCCAAGGTCAGCATGCTTAACTTTGAAGTTCTCTCGAGATGGGCAACCGAAAAGGTAGATGCATCTTGTTGCTATGAGTAGCTCAATTAATTCTTTTAAGTTATCTTAGAGCGTGTAGTCTTATACCTACACAGCCCTCGGATCTCTCTCATTCCGGTGCGTCCGCTTCATCCCTGTACCCCCTACCCAGAAGCTCGTCAGGAGCCGCCCATTGTCCATGCCTCTCGCACCGGCGATCACTCCCCGCCCTCCTACGGTATCGTGGGTTGTCACATAATGTTGAATTTGAAGACACCAACAAAGATGGAAACAAAGCATACAAGTCATGAAAGCCAAATTCACGTCATTCTCAGCCTACACTCACGAAGAGAATCATTTGGAAGATTGACAAAATCACATCAAGAAGAAATATGCCAATTATCATTTCCGGATATAATAATGTCATCAACATATATAAGTAGAAGGAAGTACCTTAGTTCACCTAAGTAGAATGTATGTTGAAGGACGAGAGAATCGAAGGATGAAACGAACCTTGTAAAATAGTGAGCACAACCTGATCGTCTTGAATCCATTTGGAGTCTGCTGCGGTCAAGGTTGCATCTTCGTTGATGTTTTTGGATTCCTTTGTGTGTTCCCAAAGGCCTTTGCTCCTTAATGTGGTCTTGGCTGATCTGGACCAGCTCAAGTAGTTTTCGCCTGTCAGAATCACTGGAATGAGTCTTTGGAATGAACCTTCCATCGTGAGATAAACACAGAGAAAGAGGTTTTTTTATGTGTATAGAAGGATAACAGAAGATCGAAGAACGTGTTTTGATCGAAGAACGTGTTTAAGCCGCAGGCTCTGATACCATGTCGTAATTTAGAGATTTGGGAGAAAGATGATTGTGAAAGAATGTGTTCTAGGGTAAAACAACGATTGTAAGATGTGAATTATTCCATAGAATGTGTAGAAGAGAAGAAGATTACATCAGGTATATACAAAAGACTAAATATGAAAAGAAAGGAAACTATACAAATCACTAACGTCTATACATATGAGGAAGGAAAGATATTAGTTATTGGCATATTTCTTCTTGATGTGATTTTGTCAATCTTCCAAATGATTCTCTTCGTGAGTGTAGGCTGAGAATGACGTGAATTTGGCTTTCATGACTTGTATGCTTTGTTTCCATCTTTGTTGGTGTCTTCAAATTCAACATTCCCCCCCAAGATTGGTTTGTGAATATCCACAAGACCAATCTTGCAAAGGGTGTTGTTATGGGTCTTGAGGTTCGTCGCTTTTGTAAAAATATCTGCAAGTTGATCATCACTTCTTGTGTAGGTAGTTGATATAATACCTTGAAGTACCTTCTCTCGTATGAAGTGACAGTCAACTTCTATGTGTTTTGTCCTCTCGTGAAAGACTGAATTTGCTGCGATATGTATTGTTGCTTGGTTATCACAGTGGAGAGGGATAGGTTGATCAATAGTAATCCCCAAGTCTTGTAATAATCCTTTAAGCCAAACTAGTTCGCATGTTGTGTTTGTCATTGCTCTATATTCTGCTTCAGCACTTGATCTCGCCACACGTTTTGTTTCTTACTCTTCCATGTTACTAAGTTTCCTCCCACGAATGTACAATAGCCCGTTGTCGACTTTCTGTCCTTTTGATCTCCTGCCCAATCCGCATCGCAATATCCAACGATTCTAGTGTGATTGTTGTTGCTCATCCAAATTCCTTTGCCCGGTGTTCTTTTTAGATTCTTTAATATCCTTTTCACCATTTTCCAACTCCTTGTAGTGGGTGCGTGCATTTGTTGACTCACCTGATTCACAGCAAATGATAAGTCAGGTCGTGTAATAGTTAAATAAATTAACTTACCTACTACTCTTATGTATTGCTCTATATCTTCGACCGGTTCCCCCTCTTGGTGATACTTGAAGCTTTCCTCAATTGGCTTCTTAGCCGGTTTGGCTCCGATTTTTTCTGTAACATCAAGAAGATCAAGTGTGTACTTCCTTTGTGATAGAAATAACCCTTTATTTGATCGAGTTATCTCTATACCAAGGAAGTACCTTAGTTCACCTAAGTCCTTAATATCGAATGTATGTTTTAGGAGGTCTTTCGTTTTCACAATTCCCGCTTTATCATTTCCGGATATAATAATGTCATCAACATATATAAGTAGAAGGAAGTACCTTAGTTCACCTAAGTAGAATGTATGTTGAAGGACGAGAGAATCGAAGGATGAAACGAACCTTGTAAAATAGTGAGCACAACCTGATCGTCTTGAATCCATTTGGAGTCTGCTGCGGTCAAGGTTGCATCTTCGTTGATGTTTTTGGATTCCTTTGTGTGTTCCCAAAGGCCTTTGCTCCTTAATGTGGTCTTGGCTGATCTGGACCAGCTCAAGTAGTTTTCGCCTGTCAGAATCACTGGAATGAGTCTTTGGAATGAACCTTCCATCGTGAGATAAACACAGAGAAAGAGGTTTTTTTATGTGTATAGAAGGATAACAGAAGATCGAAGAACGTGTTTTGATCGAAGAACGTGTTTAAGCCGCAGGCTCTGATACCATGTCGTAATTTAGAGATTTGGGAGAAAGATGATTGTGAAAGAATGTGTTCTAGGGTAAAACAACGATTGTAAGATGTGAATTATTCCATAGAATGTGTAGAAGAGAAGAAGATTACATCATAGATATACAAAAGACTAAATATGAAAAGAAAGAAAACTATACAAATCACTAACGTCTATACATATGAAGAAGGAAAGATATTAGTTATTGGCATATTTCTTCTTGATGTGATTTTGTCAATCTTCCAAATGATTCTCTTCGTGAGTATTTGGAAGATTGACAAAATCACATCAAGAAGAAATATGCCAATAACTAATATCTTTCCTTCTTCATATGTATAGACGTTAGTGATTTGTATAGTTTTCTTTCTTTTCATATTTAGTCTTTTGTATATCTATGATGTAATCTTCTTCTCTTCTACACATTCTATGGAATAATTCACATCTTACAATCGTTGTTTTACCCTAGAACACATTCTTTCACAATCATCTTTCTCCTAAATCTCTGATTTATGACACATAATGCCTTATAAAATAGTCTTTATGATACATGGTCACAATAGAATAAAGTATTAATCCGGCTTAAATGTTAAAACACCGGATCCAAAAAAAAAGTATATGGATCAACCGATGGAAGTATGAACACAATCCAAAATCTTTTTGTAGTTTTGAATGCTTATGTCAAATCATTAATCATGAATATGATTGTTCGTTTAAGTGATATGGAAATTTTGGGGACAGAAGGGGAAGTGGATAGGAGCTCGTTGGCCTGTTCCGGTTATTTGGGAAGTGTTAAGGACCTTGTGTCTGAAATGTACGATGTGGAAAATATTCACGTGGCTCACTTTCCCAACTCAAACTGAACCCTCTCACTTATGTGGAGGCTTTTACCTAATCCAAAATAAATAAAACCAGGCCGGTCCAAATAAAACCGAACAAGATTTCGTCTGATTTGACATGTTCTAATCCGAAATAGCCAAAGTACAAAAGTATCACAGGCGAAAATAAATCCAAAGACGATATATTTTGAAACCAAAAAGGAAAAAAGGAAAATTGGTATACAAATTGTACCAAGTGAAACCATCCATACTCATAGCGGTCCTATAAGCATAATTAGTGTTACATTTTAATGTGGTTCCCTATTTGTGCTTTTTTTATATATAGAAAAGTTAAACATGTATATTAATGACATCATTATGACAAAAAACAATAAATGCTTGCATTATACCAAAAGAAATTTTAATAAACAAATCAGTATATGTAATATGTATGTATAAAGATCCAAGATTGAGTGATTCAACTAGTAAGAGATGGAATAAAACCCCATTTCTAATCTAAATTCGAGTCTTTATTTAGAAAGAGGGATTCATCTGTATTTTTTCGATTTTTTGAAAGTTGTAGTTGGATAAAGATTGGAAGAACTTCCAAATTAATAAAAAATATATTTTTTATTGTTTTATATCTCAAACATTTAAGGTGATATTTTAATTTAAAAAAATTGAATTGTATACAGAAATATCACACAAATTTTGTGTAAATTGTACGTATTTTACCAACGCACTTATTAAAGCCATGATGGGGATATATAATCAACAAATTTTCGTACATCAGAATATATATTAGACTACACGATTTAAATTTTACCTTCGATCTAAAAAATAAAATACTAAATTCTTGATTGGAATTTGATAGAACGTGATTTAGGAAGAAAAAAAAATTAGCCGATAGAAATATTATGAATTGATTTTATTTAAAACTATAAAAAAATAAATTTTCGAAACAATTATTTTTATCAAGACAAACCCAAATCTCTTGAGACATTTTAACCTTTTTCATTGATACGGTCGTCACCCTCTTCCTTGTTTTGATTGGTAGTTAATTAACCAGTATTAAATTAATAAAATTTAAATATGATATAAAATACTTTAAAAATAAAATTTTTTCGAAAGGCTTTTTAAAAAAATAACACAACCACAAACTTTTCATACTATTTCATTTTTTTTTTGTATTGGCACATCGGATTTTCACTTAATTTCCCATCACAAAAGGAGAGATCCCAACAACTCCACGATCATAGAATCTATGGGTAGATAATCTATATGGGTACTTTTTCCCAAGATGATGAAAATAATGTTTTTTCCTAATACTTCACTTAGTTTTCGTAGAGGTGGGTGTTTCGTTATTCAGTTCAGGTTTGTTTCGAGAATAGTTCGATTCGATTTTTTCGATTTTACAAAAATATAGACCAATTGGCTATTACATAATATTTGGTTTGGTACGATTTTGGTTTTGGTTTGATTCGGTTCGGTTTTAGTTTTTATTAAAAAATTAGATTTTTTTAGAAATATTCGGGTTTTCGAATTTTTTAAAATCGGATTTAGTTTTGAAAAATTCGGTACCCGTACCACGGACTGCAAAAATAATAATAATAATATAAAAAGAAATAATGGTTTCTATCAATAATTTATAGACTGGGAGACTGTTGGTACCTACCCCCATCCCATCTGTGTAGAAGTTGCAGCTTATAATGTTGCTCGAAGAACATGAGAGAAACCCACCTCGATTTCCTCTCCAACAATGGCGTTTCATTGCTTCTTCTTCTTCTTCTTCGTCTTCGTCTTCGTGTTGTCTCCTCCGTTTGTTTATTGCTCAGTCACCAACTCTCTACCTGGTTTCCATGGCACTCTTCCCTTCGAACTCGAAACCGGGTTTGTGTGTTAAAAAAAACATAATCTTTACCTGATTCAGACGGAAATAGAAAGAAATATCCAAGCTTTGTGTCTGGTAATGATTGGTATTGGTTTTGTCTGGAAATTTAGGTATGTGGGTGTCGGTGAATCGGAGGAAGTACAGCTCTTTTACTACTTCATCAAGTCAGAAAGGAAACCAAGCGAAGATCCTGTCTTGGTTTGGTTAACCGGTGGGCCCGGTTGCAGTTCGTTTTCCGGTTTAGCTCTCGAAATCGGTACGTTCTTCTCTGTAATTGTCCCATCTTCTATATAAATGTAACATCGAAATGATTCGATTGTTAATTACAGGTCCTTTGAAGTTCGAGTTAACGGAGTACAATGGAACGACGCCGACGTTGTTGCCAACTCCGGATTCTTGGACCAAGGTTAACGAACATATCATATAATATGAATTTGTGATCATAATTATCATAACCGGTGATGGTTTGATCCTCAGTCTGCGAGCATAATATTCGTGGACCAACCTGCGGGCGCTGGATTTTCGTACTCGACAACTCCACGAGGTTATCAAGCAAGTGACACGCGATCGGCTCTCCTTGTTGATCAATTTGTTAGAAAGGTAAGATAATTTCTAAATTTTCAGGATTTGATTTTTATGGAAACCTAAACAATAAATAAAATCCGACTTTATATAATTCATATAAACCAACAATATACGTATATACCCAATAATTGATAGTTTTTTTTTTAATTTGATAACTAGAATGATTTTCTGGTCTTCGTCCCGACTATATCCACTTTAGGTACGAGACCAACCTTTGTATATGAACCATTTTAGTTCAGAAATTACATCTCTCCTCACCAGTGAAATCGAATCCAGGATTTTAAGGATGACTTTGTCACCTCTCAACCATTGGACCACCAACTATTGATAGTTCATTGGTTGAGATGTGACAAAATTATTTTCAAAATACTGGATTCGATTCCACTGATGGAAAAGATGTAATTTGTAGACCAAAATGGTCTATATACAAAGATTGTCTTCGGACCTAAGATAGATGTAGTTGGATCTAATATCCGGGGAACCATTCTAGTTATAAAAAAAAAACATATGTCATACAAATATATCTGAATCCATAAATCGGATAAATAATTTTTAATAACCCAAGGTAAGGCTAAAGTTTTCTCTCCTTTTGTTCACACTCTAATTATAATATTTTTATGGATAAAAAATAATGAATTATAATTTTTTTTTATAGTACCTAGAAACTCTAGTTGTATTATCTAAAGAGAAATAGGACTTTCGATAATACTTTTAGTTATACTTTAAAGCACCAAATTAATATTAAAACCCGAAAATCCAAATCTCACCGCCCACACAATTATTTAATTCTAACAATATATTCCCATTCTTGTAGCATTTTAGACTACGACATGTTATGTCCGTTCGGTTTAGTTTTATATATTATTAGGTATGATTTGGTTAGCACTTGGTTTGGTTTGGTCATAATATTCCCATTATGGTAACATTTTCACGTGTGTTTTTCTATCAGAATATAGGACCGGTTAGACCGGTTTGGTCAAATTCGGTTATTTTGGCTTGATTTGGTTATATTCAAAGAATTTGTTAGAAAACTCGCATCGATTTCAATAATTTCTTGGATTTCAATATGCAGTGGATGCTGCTCCATCCGGAGTTCATATCGAATCCGTTGTACATCGCTGGAGACTCCTACTCGGGAATGATCGTTCCTCCGACTACTCTTCGTATCTCCGACGGTATCGCCTCCTCGTCCCATTGCAAAGTTTGAAACTTTCGTCAATGTTAGGAACAATCGCTTAAAGAATCAAGAACTTTAAAAAAATTCCATATAAAATGACAAACTTTATAACTCTAAATAAAATTATGAAATATTTTACTCTTACTATATTTCGTAAAATTGATGATTTTATATAGAAGTTACAAAATTTATAAACTAATGTCAATACGGTTCTTGCAATGTTAGGGAACGATAGAGGCGTCCAACCTCGTGTGAACCTCAAGGTTCTTGAAACTCGTAAATCTCCCTAAACCCGCAAAAATAGTATTTCCTTTTGCCAAATTGTTCATTCGTATCCTTCTTTTTCCGTAGGGTTACGTTTTGGGCAATCCCCTTACCAACGAGGAGACGAATCACAACGCCGGGATTCCATACGCTCACGGAATGGGACTTATTTCCGATGAAATCTACGAGGTAACCGCCCATTTCCATGTTTATATGATATATATGTACTAATAGGGAAATGTTTTTCTATTATTGATAATGGGAAGAATACATCATAATATATAGCGAAATACAATAGAATATTCTAGGCATAATATCTAGGATAAATCATAACAATATTAATGATAATATTCTAAGAATAATATCTTCCTATATGCCCCCTCAAGATGAATCATCTATGATGAATTCAATCTTGTTACATAAAAACTGAAAACTGAAATTGTGATCGTATTAAACGAATCATCTTCCATGTGTTGGTGTAGTTCAGACTTGAGTCGGTGTTGCTTGATAACGTTTGAAGAGCTTGAGAGTTGTATTCTCAGAGGTTGATATGGCACGAAAGTGCGACGCGTATGCGTGAATTGGGTTGCACGACAATGAAGTCGACAACGCAAAAAACTGCGGTGTATATAGCGGTTAGGCCGGAGGAAAAAAAAAAGGGCGCAAAAGCGCGACGCATAATGCGTGATAGTCTAGCAGCGGGACAAGAGAAGAGAATAAAAATAAGTGACGCAAATACGTGGATCGACGATCGGAGTTTTCCAATCGAAAGAGGCTAAAAGCCATGTTTAAAGAGCTCACAACAGCTAGGGTTGACATCGATAAACGAATGTCGTCAGAGAAAAAAAAAAGTAGCACATCGGCTAGGGTTGACGTCGATAAACGAACATCGTCGTAAAGAAAAAAAATAGCACATCAGCTAGGGTTGACGGTGATGAACACCGCCGTCGGGGAAAGAAAATAGAAAAAAAAAAGAGCAAAATAAATTGAAAACGATACTCAAGGCGATGATACTATTGGATTTAGTACATCGTTGTCATCTTCATCGTCGCTTTCAGATTCGACCAACATTGTTGATGAGAAGAAAAAAAAAATCTAGAACAAAAACCAAAGCTCTGATACCATAATAGGGAAATGTTTTTCTATTATTGATAATGGGAAGAATACATCATAATATATAGCGAAATACAATAGAATATTCTAGGCATAATATCTAGGATAAATCATAACAATATTAACGATAATATTCTAAGAATAATATCTTCCTATATGTACGTGTATATATATGTATCATTGTGTTATATATATATATATATATACACACACTGACAATACGAGTTCATGGAATTCTTGGAAGTCATTGGTGAGTAGCTGCAAGGGAAATTACCACATCGTGGACCCAAGCAACAGAGAATGCGCGAGGGCTCTTGAACGGTACAATGAGGTCGGTGAACGAAAACACTGAAGAGAATAAAATATTTTTTTTATAAAAATTTAAAATATTTTTTGGATCGTTTCAGTGCATTACAGGTATAAATCTGTCAATGATCACGGACGATGCATGTGATGCTGACCTTCCTAATCCTCGGCCCAAGTGCAAGGTTCCCTCTTTCTTCGTATAATGTTTAATACTTTATATTATATCATATACACACACACACTGACACACAAATACGTATACATGCGCTGTGGCATCAACGGTGACGTGTCATGTATTTGCAGACGTATTATTACACTCTGTCAAGTTACTGGTCCAACGATGAATCTGTCCGCAGATCACTCGGCATACGAGAGGTAAAACGCATAGAGAATTGTATAATTGATCTTGGTTATATTTATAATAAGAATAGTATTAAAGTATGTGATGGGTATGTCGTTTTTTTTTTAATCCAAGAAAATTTTCTTACACAGGTATTCCGAACACATCCTATCGTTTTGGTTACTAATCGAATAGTTGAACCAGACCGAATAAGATATAATCGTAATTGAATTGAATGCGATATAAAAACCGAACGGTTACGGTTTTTCTAAACATGAAAAAATTGATCCGAATCAAATCGAACCGAATAAAAAAATGATAGCAAAAACCAATCCGAACTGAAATGAGACCGTACCACCCGAATCGAAACTGATAAAAAGATGGAATGCTTATATTATGATTGAAAACAGGGGACAATTGGGGAATGGGTGAGATGCAATGGTGACAATATTCCATATAACAACGACGTTATAAGCAGCTTTCCGTATCATGTCAATCTAAGCATGAAAGGTTATCGTTCTTTGATTTACAGGTAACACCAGAAATTAAAAACACTACTTATTCCATTTTTCCCTATCCATATTCGATTTGTAATGTTTAGGGATTTTTTTTATTTAAAAAACATTTTTTTTGTGTTATATTGGCACGTGGGAATCTCGAATAGTGGTGACCATGACATGATCGTACCGCATGTTGCAACACAAGAATGGGTTAGAGCGTTGAATTACTCCATCATTGATCATTGGAGGCCATGGATGGACCGCCACCAAGTTCAAGGGTATATATTTTTCTCACTATATATATATAACTTATTCCATTTTTCCCTATCCATATTCGATTTGTAATGTTTAGGGATTTTTTTTATTTAAAAAACATTTTTTTTGTGTTATATTGGCACGTGGGAATCTCGAATAGTGGTGACCATGACATGATCGTACCGCATGTTGCAACACAAGAATGGGTTAGAGCGTTGAATTACTCCATCATTGATCATTGGAGGCCATGGATGGACCGCCACCAAGTTCAAGGGTATATATTTTTCTCTCTATATATATATATATATATATATATATGTAAATTGTGTGTGTGTTTATAGCTTTTATTGTAATTGCAAACTTGAATCTCTTTTTTGTGTGTTGTTCATATGCCAAATTTAACAAAATGGCGTTTGCAACTTTTTTCTTCATTATTATTGAAACTAACAATTAATTTATGGAACGAATTATTAAATCTAACAAAATAACTAGAAAAAAATAATAATCTATTTTTAGGGTTTGAATTTCTGGTTTTCGGGTTTTGTGCCTGAAAAATAGACACAATTTTTCGTCATTTTTATTAACCTGTAAATGTAAATATTAGTTGTTGCATTAATTATAAAAAATATATGATTTGAAATCTAGTGTTGTGGATGGCTATGAACAGGTACACGAGGACGTACGCTAACCAAATGACATTTGCAACTATCAAAGTAAGTTATTTACCTTCCAGCCACTGCAGTTTCCCTAATAAATCAGTAACAATACGAATTTCTCGTTTATATCCATATTATTTTTAAGTTATTTACAAGAATAAATGTACATATTTACAATGATTTCCACTTTTAGATATGAAATCAAGATAATGGCAATATCAATTCTTTTGACTTAAAATCGACTATATACATCGCCATATTAATTTTTTTATCGTTCTAGTTAACTGTTATGTAGGGGTGGTCATTTAGGGTTCGGTTCGGTTATATTCGGATTCGGTTATTTGGGGTATAGAAAAATTATTGCCATTCGGTTTTTATATAAATTTCGTTCCGTTCTGTTTGGTTATTTTTCAGTTCGGTTTGATTCAGTTTCGGTAAAAAATTCATTGTTTCAAAGAAATTGTGGTTTTTTCAGTTATTTTTGTATTCGATTCGGTTTCACTTTTTTCGAGTTTGAACAAATCATAACCATTCGATTTTATGTCGAATTCGATTCGTATACGGTTTTATTCAATTCATTTCAATTCAGTTATTCAGTTAATAACCGAAATGTTCTTTTATATGGAGTTAACCTTTTTTATTAATATTTTTGTTTTTTTTTTCTGTCAGGGCGGAGGACACACGGCTGAATTTAAGCGTGGACCGTACGGTGTCATGTTTAATCGGTGGATTAACGGCGAACCTTTGTGAAAGTGTAATGCGTGACATTATATATTATATACATATATATGGGGGAATTTGTTACTCTTATTTCGTTCGGTTGATTCAAAACTAAATTTATTAAATTGCAATATTATTACGAAAATCTTCAATGGCATTGCCTTCTTTGTAATTCAGATGAATAAATAAACATTGAATATGTTGTTGGCCATTGCCGAATTCTTTATTTTTGTCAATCGATTATTTTTCGGACAGTCTGAGTAAGCTTAACAGTTTATCAAGCTTACCAAATGTCTTGCGTCCATTTGTTCAAGTTATAGGTCTTCATGAACAAACAGTGGCAGTAGGACTCTATGGACACGTGTTTGATTATAAGTGAGAATATTTCATTGTAGTCCACTCCTTCTATCTGCGAGAAGTCTTTTGCTACTAGTCTTGTTTTGTACCGAGGTTCTTCAACTCCTGAAATCCCTGGTTTCTTCTTTAGCACCCATTTGCAGTCTATAACTCTTTGCTTATCAGGTCAAGGAATCAAGATCTAAGTCTAATTCTGTTTCATGGACTTCATTTCTTCTTTCATAGCTTGCTCCCATTTGCTCCAGTCTCTGTGCTTTCTAGCTTCATCATATGTTTTTGGTTCTTCAAGTTCAACTTTACTGGATGAAGCCAGAGCAAATACTACCACATCTGATTCATCAAATATGGATGGTGGCTTTATTTCTCTTCTCTGTTTGTCTCTAGCTAGCATATATTCAGATAGGTCATCCGTGTTTCTCGACTTTGAGCTCTCTAATTCTGATCTTGTTTCAGAGTCTGCAGTGATCCCTTAGTTTTAATTTCCTCATTTAAGTTTGTAGTGTGTTTCTCTATTTTGTTCCACCTTGACCCTGAATCATTTGATCCTTCTAAAAAAACTGTAGTATGGGTAAACCTGACAGAGATGGTTTCTGTTTTTCAGTGGAGTCGATTTATTCATTTCCAAATCTTTGTAGACTTGTTGCTTGTTAAATCTTACATCTCTGCTTATCACGCACTTCTTGTCCTCCAAGAGTCAGATTTTGTACCCTTTTATGCCATCTGGGTATCCAAGGAATATGTCTTTCTCACCTCTTAGGAATGTTTTTCCTTGGTCGGTGTATACATAAGTTATACTGCCGAATCTTCTTAGGTGTGAATAACTAGGAGTTGTGTCTCACCATACTTGTTCTGGAACTTCAAAATTCATTGCGCTGAATGGAGATTTATTTATGATGTACACACATATTGCTGCAATTTCAACTCGGAAGGTCTGCGGAAGTCACATTTCTGCCAACCAACTACGTACCTTTTCCATAATAGTTTGGTTCATCCTTTCTGCAACACTGTTTTACTAGGGGGTAAAGGTGCAAGTCGTGTGTCTCTGAATCCCGTTTTTCCTGCAGAAACTGTCAAACCTATTACTGCAGAATTCTAGGCCATTGTCTGTCCTAAATGTTCAGATGTTCTTTCATGTATGTTTCTCGACTAAAGTTTTCCAAGTGTAGAATTTTTTGAAAGCCTCTTTGCTCTAAAGAAGTATATCCATATCTTGCGGGAGAAATCATCAATGAAGGAGATGGAATATTGACTTCTGGACATCGAGTTCGGGACATTTAGGGACCCCCACAAGTCTAAATGTATATAATCAAGAACTCCTTTTGACTTATGCTGACCAGTGCCGAAAACCAATCTGTGGGATTTTCTGAAAAAGCAATTCTCGCAGAACTCAAGTGCTGAAACTTCCTTCTGTGGTATAAATCCCTTTTTGACAAGTAAGTCAATATCCTTTTGACTCATATGAGCCAATCGACTGTGCCAGAGATGCGTATTGTCTTCGACTGCTTGTACATGATGAGATTCTATAGCTACTGTCTTGCCATCTAATACGTACAATCCATCTCGAAGCTAGCCTTTAAGCACCACTCTGCATCCCTTTATCACCCTCAAAGAGCCTTCCTGCGATTTGTACCAACATCCCTGAGCTTCTAATTCTCCCATTGATATTAGATTCCTCCTTAACTGCGATATGTATCTAACTTACTTGGGATCCATCATGGGTTTCAATCTATATGTTCCCAATTCCAACAACCCAACACGTTGTGTTTTTTCCCATGCTCATGAGTCCGAATTTGCAGGGTTCTAACGATGTGAATCAATCCTTTCGAGGCGTCATTGTTGGGTTTTGGAGATCCCTAAACATGCGTTCACAACGATTTCTAGAGTTCCAATCTTGGGTTTCATGCACCGAAAAAAATAAAACGCAACCCAATCAACAAATCTTACGTATAATGATAAAGGCATCGATATACTAACCTGTTTTGATCCAGAGACCTGTCACAAATGCTGAAATCAAGCGCTCTCCATAGTTAGTCCACATCACGGGCTTGTGTTTGCTAGAACGTGATCTGAAGGATGAGAAAGAAAACCGAGGGCTCCTCGGGAGAGAGAACGGCGGTGGCCACGAGCGAGAAAAGGGGAGAAAAAAATTGATTTTTCTTAATCACTTACTAATTATCTTTTCTAAACATAATTATAAAAGAGGATTAGAATTTCATTAAACTCATTCGGCCAATTGGACCTTCAACGTAACAATTAAGAGAATTAAAGCCCAGTAGCCTTATTAATTATCATATGGGCTCATTAGGCCACATAAACCCATCCAATGGTTTTCTAATCAGTTTCACAAACCGATCGTGGTTTAAACACCATATCCATCAGTCATATGGTATGAACACCCAGAATCCATGATCCATTCTTCCAGTATATTTCTTTCATTAACCGATAGTACCCTCTGTAACCTCCATATTCTGTGACTCAAATCTTGACGTTTATGGTCGAACTATGCTGACTTCTCCTCTGTTTTTCTGAGATTGATCCAAGTTTCTTTCTTTGAACGACAGTCCTTTCGATAGTGGCCTTTCTTCCCACAATACCAACAATCCCCTATTGACTTCGACTTAGATCTTGATCTGAACTTTCTATTCCCAACATGTTCCTTTTTCTCTTGTCGTCCCCTGACTGACAGCCCTTTTGTAACACCTTTTGATCCTTTTACTTCTTCAGGTGTTATAGAGGATCTTGAGTACTTTAGAACTTCCCTTATGTTGGAGTTTTAGAGATCTCTAAACATGCGTTCATAACAGTTTCTAGGGTTCCAACTTTGGGTTTCATACAACGGAATATATAGAACGAAAGCCAATCAACAGATCTTGCATATAATGATAAAGGTATCGATGTACCAACCTGTTTCGATTCAGAGACCTATCACAAACGCTTAATTCAAGCGCTCTCTATAGCTAGTCCACACTCACAGGCTTGCTTCTCCTAGAATGCGATCTGGAGGATGGGAACGAAAAAAACGAGATGCTCCCCGGGAGAGAGAAATTTCGGCCAAGAGAGAGAGCGGGAGAGAAAAAAATCTCTTTTTTTCTTTCTTAACCTTAAATTATGTTTTCTAAACATAATTATAAAGGGATTAGAGTTTTATTAAACCCATTGGGTCTTAATGGACTTTCTCTTGACAATTAAGTGATATTAGGCCTATTAGCATTATTAATAAACATATGGGCTCGTTGGGCCACCTAAAATCATCCAATGGATTTCTAACCAGTTTTGCAAACCGATCATGGTTAGAGCACCATATCCATCACCTTAACTGTTTATTAGGAGGAGGTAAAGCATTTGACATGTAGACAACTTGATATTCTTCCTCTACCTTCACTTGCAAGTTCTGAAGATCAAATAACATTCGCTGAAATACATCGAGATTTTCTTCGATTGTCTTTGATTCCTCCATCTTGAACCCAAATAGCCTCTCCATGAGATACATTCGATTGAGCAGTGATTGTTCGAGATAAAGTTTCTCGATCATGTTCCAGATTCCAAATGCCATCTTTTCTTGAACGACTTTTCTCAAAATTTGATCTGAAAGGCATAGTACGATTAGGTTTCTTGCTCTTCTACTCCTTTCAGCTCTCATCTTTCCGAGTTTCTTTCTTTCTTCTCTGTCATCTATCTTTCCAGAGTCTTGATCCTTTTGCACTGTAGTTCCTGAGGTCAATGTGCTCCCTACCACTGATGCTGCAGATGTAGCCAAAATTTTTGTTGTCATCAAACCTGACATTTTCTCAGAATCTTCTGCTACTTCCCAATTTCTCAGATCATCCTCCAAAGTATCTGGCAATCCCATTATCTCAAGACAAATCTGAACCTTTTCTTTCTACAAGACGAAATCTCCTTTCCCATCGAAACGCTCCACATCCAATCTTTGCATTTGAGCCGCTATTGTTATGCTGAATCTGAACCGAGATATGTCCAATTCCCTAAATCGAAACCCACAACCGAGCTCTAATACCACCTGTTATTGTTTCAACCTCTAGACAACTCAACTTCTCAGAATGATCCTCTCCAGAGAACTTGCGTCGAACACCCTGCAAATACAAAACAAGAACACAACGCAAACCAAGATAGATCGAAAGAGAAAGAGACACGAGGATTACAAATTCGGATTCAAGCGGTGTGCTTGTCCTACGTCTCAGTGAAGGTCTGGACAGTTTGTTACTCGAGGTTTTCAGATCGATTACAAGCGAAAAAATTTTCGTCTCCAATGGATTTCTCTCAGAGTGCAAGAAACAAATATCCCACAACTCTACTTTCTGGGTTATATAAGACCCCCAACTAACAAGGTTACTAAATTACCCAAATATCCATATTAGCAAAATACTAACCGAGCTCAGTACGACATCTCTTTTCTCCTTTGGAGAACCCTCTGCTCGAGTCTAAGGCTCTTCCAAATTCAACTCAGGTTACAGACAAATCAACATAACACCAGAATTGCTGATACAATTCCACAAATAGAATACATTAAGATGTACATACATAAAATATTGTAAACTGAATATATTCCGTACGGAGGACAAGAACCCTGTCGGAACGCTCTCGGATCTGATTTGGTCCATCGAGACGAAGTCCTTGTCTTTTAGATGAGATTCACATATTCTTGTCTTATCGGACGGATTTTCTCTGGTTTGTGAACTTCGTTTGGGATGACGATAATGTGGTATGGGAGTAGATTTTTCGTTTTAGGAACTTCGTTCGAAGGGCGAAA